GCAGAGACAGGGGAATCAGCCAGAAGCTGCAGGCTCACTAGCCTGGAGTACACAGCACAGTAGAAACAAGAGAGATCATGCTTCAACAGGGTGGAAGGTGAGAACACTCCCTAGAGTGTGGCCTTTACACATGCACTGTGGCACATGCATTTCTACACACACACCCAGACCCGCCACACACACACACACACAAATTAAAAGAACATGCACTTATTTTTGTTTGTTTGAGTCCCTTCCTGCAGGGGTTCAACCCGGACCTTTTGCATGCTTAACAAGTGCTTCTCCCACTGACCTACACGCCTCCAGCAGCCCCTTCATCCTTTACACATTTTTGTGGCATTTGAATTTAAAAATATACATTTTTTTTGCAACTTCAAAACAAAAGAGTTTGGTTAGATGTGAACAGCTGCTCTACAGATCACAGAGATCACTCTGAATTATCTGATCTTAATTGAAGATGTGAAAATGACTAAGACCTTCAGAAGCCATGGGGCAACCTGTCATGGTGCAGCTGCTGCAGGAGACTATAGATACCTGTGGAAAAGCCTTCCCCAGGCAGTGACTGGAAATGGCCTTGCAGGACAGGCAGCGTTCCTCAGCACAAGGAGAATCTGAAAGTCTTTCCCATTTTTCCATAAGCAAAGATAATGCCTCTGTTCTCCTCTAGCTTTTTTTTTCAGTATAGGAGATTGAATCTAGAGCCTTAGATATCTTGCAAGTGCTGTACCATTGAGCGACAACCCTAGCTGCCTCTTCCTCCTCCCCCTCCCCTCCTCCTCCTCCTCTTCCTCCCCTTCTTTCTCCCCCTCCCACCTTCTCCTGAGACAGGTTCTCTTTCTAAGTAAGTTGCCTCAGCTGGCCTCAAATTTGCAGTCCTACTGCGTCAGCCTCCTAGGTAGCTGGAATTATAGGCTTACGCTACTATGCCCACCTTTTATCCTTTTTTATAAATAGTAAAATTATAGAGCCTCATTGTAAGAAAAAAATCAGACGATATAGAAATGTACAAGCCTCATCTGCAGAAATAACCATTATTTATAATTTGGTTGTACAGGCTGGGGATATGGCTTAGTTAGTGGAGTGCTAGCATGTATCAAGTCCTGAGTCAAACCTAGTGCTGTATACCAGGTGTGGTGACACACCGCGGTAACCCCAGCACTCTGACATCGGAAGCAGGAAGATCAGAAGTTCAAAGTTATCCTCAGTTCAGATAGGGAGTTCAAAGCCAGCCTAACTAACCCTATCTCAAAAAACAATAATAATTCGAACATTTTTTTAGATTTAATTTTTAAAAAATATTTTATTATTTTATAAGTGCTGTATACCAGGTGTGGTGACACACCGCGGTAACCCCAGCACTCTGACATCGGAAGCAGGAAGATCAGAAGTTCAAAGTTATCCTCAGTTCAGATAGGGAGTTCAAAGCCAGCCTAACTAACCCTATCTCAAAAAACAATAATAATTCGAACATTTTTTTAGATTTAATTTTTAAAAAATATTTTATTATTTTATATGTATTAGTGTATTGCCTGCATGTATGTGAGTGCACCCATGTCGTGCAATGCCTCGGAGGTCAGACGAGGGCTTCAGATTCCCCTGGAACTGGAGTTAAGGACGGTTCTTAGCCGCCATTGGGTGCTGGGACTCTAACTCAGGTCCTCTGCAAGAGCAGTCAGTGCTCTTAACTGCTGAGCCATCGCTCCAGCCCCTAGATTTTAATTTTTTTTTTTTTGTCTTTTTGAGACAGGGTCTCCCTGTAGCCCCAGCTGTCCTGGAACTCACTATGTAGACCAGGCTGGCCTTGAACTCACAGAGATCCACCTGTCTCTGCCTCCCAAGTGCTGGGATTAAAGGCATGTGCCACCACGCTCGACCCTAGATGTTAATTTTTTAACACATTTGTGTGTGGGTCTCCATGTGGAGGTCAGAGGACAACTTTCAGGAGTTGATTCTCTCCACCATTCCGGTCCCAGGGATCAAAGTCAGGCTGTCAGGTGGCAGCAAGCACCTTTATCCACTGAGCCATCTCACTAGCCCTATCCTTTAGATTTCCAAAATACACACATATATATAAATATATTATTATTTTTTTTAACTTTTACAAAAACTTTATTGAGAATTTCATACATGCATATAAGGTGTTTTGATCAAATCCATGCCCACTCCCTCCCTTCCAACGCCTCCCAAATCTCCATCACTTTTTTCTTTTTCTTTTCTTTTTTCTTCGTCTTTCATTTATTTATTTTTATGGGGCTTTTGGCTACTCTAAAATTCCCCCTTCTGAAGAGGTACCCCTAGAATCTTTAAAGGATTAGATAAAAGCTCCCAAATACATTAGATATTTGTGGCCTTTGGAACAGAGGTGGTTGCTAAGACGCCTAAGGATAGTGTGAGATTTAGCCAAGAAACTGGCTACTTTCCTTTGGGGTCTTTTTACCCAAACTGCCTAGCCAGTTCCTACCTCCTATTCTTATCACACCATCCTCTGAAGAGGTTATCAAAATTGCCAATAGGGAATTGGAACGCAGACCTCTCTGGCTTCTTCCATGCTGAACGGCGATGCAGAGTGAGGCAATTGGAGTACCCCTTCAGTGGGTCTATCCTAGACTCCCAGACTGCATTTGGCTCTAATTTAGTCACTAATTTTTTAAAAATATTTTAAATTTATTATCATTTTAAAATATTTTATCTATTATTTTTATTTTATGTGTATGAGTGTATTGCCTACATGTGTGCAAGTGCACCTGTGTTGTGCAATGCTCTTGGAGGTCAGAAGAAGGCGTCGGATTCCCCCGGAACTGGAGTTACAGATGGTTATTAGCCTCCTTGTTCATGTCCCCTGTGCTCTTTTGTCTACCCCATCCTTCTTCATCAAGTATTTTAACCCTCTCTTGGTCTCCTTTCTCATTTTTGAGGCCTTACACACCAGCGTATATGTGCACACACATACATGCACACACACACTTAGAGGCTAGGATCTACACATGAAAGAGGACAGTGCGGTTTTTGTCTTTTGAGTTTGGGTCACCTTGCTTAATATTGTACTTTCCAGATCCACCCATTTTCCTGCAAATTTCATAATTTCTTTTTTCTTCACAGCTGAACAACATCTCATTATGTATACATACAATATTTTCATTATCCATTCATCTGTTGATAGGCATTGAGACTGCTTCCATTTCCTGGCTGTCATGAACAGAGCAGCAGTGAGCATGGATGAACAGGTATGTCTGTGGTCGGGTATGGAGTCTTGTGGCCACATGTGCAGGAGTGGAATAGTTGGGTCATATGGTAGGTCTATTTTTAGCGTTTTGAGCAACCTTCATACTGATTTCCATAATGGCTGTACTATATGACACTCCCCGCAGCAGTGAATAAGGGTTCTTCTTACCCCACATCCTCTTCCACATCCATTTGTTGATTTCTTGATGCTAGTCATTCTGAATGTAGTGAGGCAGTATCACAAAGTAGTTTTTTTGTTTGTTTTTATGTGTATGTATGTGAGGGCACCTGTGTTGGCACCCATGTCATTCAATGCCATAGATGTCAGAAGAGGTCTTCAGATTTCCCCAAAACTGGCATTAAGGATGGTTCATAGCCACCATGTGGGAGCTGGGAATTGAACCCAGATCCTCTGCAAGAGCAGTCAGTGCTCTTAAGCACTGAGCCATCTCTCCAGCCCCACACAAAGTAGTTTTAATTTGCATCTCCGTGATGACTGGGGATGTTGAACACTGTAAAAAAATACTTTTTGGCCATTTGTGTTTCCCTTTTGAGAACCAGAACTACATATATTCATGAAGTCATACAATCATCACTGCTATCTAAATCCAGAACATTACCCCTAAAGAAATTATATACATTAGCAGACACCCTTTGTTCTACCCCTCTGTGGCAATGACTAATCTGCTTTCTGTGTCCATAGAGCTACGTCTCTGAGGGCTGGCTGGCCTTGTAGTTCAATGGCAGACAACTTAACTGGCAGGCTGAGGTGCTAGGTTTGAGTCTCAACACTACACACACACACACAAAAGACTCGCTTATTTTGGAATGTCACGCAAATGAAAGTCACATGTTCTTTTGTGCTGGCTTTTTAAAATTAGTCTGTTTTCAAAGATTTATCCATGCTGTAGTGTATCACATTGCATGGCTATATATCTGCTGTAGTGTGGATTATATCCAATTTCTGTCTACTATAGATAAGGCTGTTATGAGCATTCATGTATAAGTTTTTGTATGAACATATATTTGATCTTATCTACTCTTTTTTGAGACAGGGTCTCCCTATATCCCCAGTTGACCCAGAACTCACTGTGTAGACCTCGATCTCACAGAGATTTACCTGCCTCTGCCTCCTGAGTGCTGGGATTAAAGGCTTGCATCACCATGCCCGGCTTTTTTCTTTCTTTCCTTTTTTTAATATTTTATTATTTTTATTTTTGAACATGAGTGTATTGCTGCATGTATGTGTGCACCCGTGTTGTACAATGCCCAAGGAGGTCAGAAGAGGGCATTGTATTCCTTGAAATTGGAGTTAAGGATGGTTCTTAGCCACCATGTGGGTGCTGGGAAGCAAACCAGGTCCTCTGCAAGAGCAGACAGTGCTTTTCTCACCCACACTCTTTTTCTGTGGTTCTGTAGCATCCCCTATGGTTGTGCTAACCACCTTGACCAGTCCTTTAACGGGGCTTTGAAGAGTCTTCCTCAAAAATGCTAAGGGACTGTGACGCCGCTGCTTGCCTGCTCAAGGCGTCTAACTGCCATGCTGTCTATTCTTGGAAGATGTGAAAATGCAAGTAGGCACAGGAAATGTCTCTAACCTGCTTACACTTCCTCTCCGCACACAGAGGTTTCATAACCCCTGCAGAAGCACACCCTTCCTCCACCCCCACCCAGTGTCGCCAGCCTGAGGCCTCTGTGAGAAAGTTCCACTGAGAGGGGCCCTGGGGCATCATCATTTCCCTCTTCCACCCAGTCTAGGTTGCCGGCAAATCTCAAGAGCTCTCTGAGATTGAGGCTGGGTCCGCAGGCCCCTCCAGGGCGGCACAGATGAATTCCTGCATGACCATCACAAGATTATTGCTGTTTGGGCTCTTTCTGTTTGGTAGGAAATCGGAAAGGGAAGGGGAGGGGTTGGGGGGCGGACATTAGTCTATGACCAGAGAAACAGGAGGGCTTTGTAGCGCTGAAGAAAACAAGAGCAGCTCTAATGGGTGGGAGGCAGAGGTGATGTGGGACTCAGGCATCCTGGAGGGAGAAGGGGAAAAGACAGAAAGCCAGGGGCCAAAGAATAAAGTGGAGAAGTCAGGGAGGAAAATAAAGGTAGTACCGTGAGAGGGGTGAGGGGCCCTAAGAGTTTAGGCAGATGATTGGTGGGTCCCAGGACTGGGAGGAGAGTGCTGGGTTGGGACACTACAGCCTGATTATTAGCTCTTAAAGTTTTAGGTAAGTCCTTTCCCCTTTGGAGGCCTCCCCTCCTTTCACCCTAACAAATGAAGGCACCCCCATTCCTGATATCCAGGATGCAGTGAGCTAAGTCTGACTGCTAAGAATACAGGGCCAGAGAAGGGCAGTTTAGAGTCTGAGGATGACACTCTAGTTGCCTGAGGGGGGGAATTTGAGAGGTTAGGAGTCACCTATTCCCCGGAGGATTGGGGAGTTGGAGAGCTCTGGCTCTGCGAGGAGGCAGCTGCTGGGGCCAGGGAATCAGACTCCTTGAGGCTAGTGGTTGGAGTTTTGGGTGCCTAGGCTGCATGGCCACCAGAGGAATGGGTGTGTGAAGTATCCCTACCTTGGTTCCTGCTTGGGAACTAGGTCACTCTGCCCCTAGGGGCCCCTTCCCAGCCTTCTCTCTCAGGGTCTCCGCCTTCTCATTCTTTCTAAGCCAAAAGGGAAGTTGTGTCCTCAGGTCTTGGGAGGAGCTGCCCGAACTCTTGAGAGGCTGTGCTGCTTCCAGATTTCCCAGAGTCGAGGCCCTGGAGGGGAAGTCCAGGCACGAGTCTGTCTCTGCTTTGGCGTAGGCGGCCTTGGAACCCGGGGACGTTCTGTGAACCAGGCACTAGGGCAGCATGTGCCGGGTCCAGTCAGGAAGCAGCTGACCATATTTGCTTCCCTCAGCAGGGGCCTGGAGCTACAACCTGGATGTACGGCACGTGAAGAGCTTCTCCTTGGCACACGCGGGGAGGCATTTTGGGTATCGAGTCCTGCAGGTTGGAAATGAGTAAGTTGTAGCCCCCATAACTCCACTCTGCCAGCAGAGTATGCAAGGTCCCACATCCGCCCGGGACACCGCAGGGGGCAGGTCTCCCTTCTGTTTGACAGTGGGAATCTTAGAAACAGGAAAAAGACTCAAATACCATAAAATGAGGGTGATGGATAATATGTCACATGAGGGCCTGTGGACCCTCTCCCCTCCTTCCCAGTACATAGCCTAGCTAGCTAAGCACATAGTATGTGATGGTATGTGAGCCATCGGCAGTGTGCTTCTTTTTGGTCTTTTTGAGACAGGGTCTCCCTGTAGCCCCAGCTGTCCTGGAACTCACTATGTAGACCAGGCTGGCCTCAAACTCACAGAGATCCGCCTCCTGAGTGCTGGGATTAAAGGCGTGTGCCACTGCTGATATTTGAACACCAAGTCTGAGTGTGTTAGGCAAGCACTCCACCATTGAGATACATCTCCAACCTTTGTTGTTTGTTTTGAGACAGGATCTCTTGTAGCCCAGGCTGGTTTCAAACATGCTGAGCATAATCTTGAACTTCTGACCCTCCTGCCTCTGTCTCTGGAGTGCTGGTGGGATCACAAGCTTATGCCATTAGACCCAGTTTCCTTTTTTTATTTATTTTGAGACAGGGTCTTGCTCAATTGCCAAGGCTGACTTGAGACTTGCTATCCCCCTCTGCCTCTGCCTCTGACTAGCGGGGATCATAGGCTTGTGCCACCTTACCAGCCATAAAATGGCTTTTGAATCGATGATTAAATGAATGGACTCAAGGTGTCATTCTGGCAGATCATTCTCTGGGCTTCAAGTCTTATGGACCACAAATGGAAAGGAGCCTTAATTTTCTAGAGTTATGTTACATGGCTTTTCTCTGAGGATTGGGGATGTGGGTGAGGGCTGAGGAGCTCAAGCTGTAGCCTGAAGAGCAGTAGCCCTGTTATTTTAACAGCAAGTTGTTTTTTACATTTACTTTTTTTTTTTTTCGGTCTTTTTGAGACAGGGTCTCCTTGTAGCCCCAGTTGGCTTGGAGCTCTCTATGTGAACCAGGCTGGCCTTGAACTCACAGAGATCCACCTGCCTCTGCCTCCCGAGTGCTGGGATTAAAGGCATGTATCACCATGCCTGGCTTGGGGTATGTGTGTGTACAAACACCACAGTGCAGTGTGTAGGTCAGAGGACGACCTGTGGGAGTTAGTCCTATCCTTCCACCTTATGGGTTCTGGAAATCAAACTCAGGATATCAAGGCTTAGCAAGCACCTTAACCCACGAATCCATCTTGCCAGCCCTTCACCGCTTTGAAATACTTAAGAAACTTAATGGGGGACAGGGTAAATAAAGACTTGAACAACTCCATCTCACAAGTGAGGTTTCTCATCAGGATTGTCGTGGGAGCACCAGGTGAGGGGAACAGCACTGGAAGCCTCTATCAGTGCCAGCCAGGCAGGGGATCCTGCATACCAGTAAGCCTGAGAGGTAAGCCAGGAGGGAGGGAGATGGGCGAAGTAGGGTCCCGAGGAAACTGAGGCTATTCCCGACGCACCTGGATTGACTGAATTCCTCCAGATCACCTTTCTGGTGCCTACAGGTTCCAATTCTACTTCCAAGTATTTGGGAATGACCTTGGTGACAGACCCCACGGGTGGAAGCCTTTTGGTAAGGATTTCTATTGTGATGATATTAAAGTCTGGACAGCTCAATACTAGGAAAGAAAAGTTGAAAAAAAAATGGGGAAGGAGCTGGAGAGATGGCTCAGTGGTTAAGAGCACTGACTGCTCTTGCAGAGGACCTGGGTTCAATTCCCAGCACCTACATGGCGGTTATGAACTGTCCTTAACTCCAGTTCCAGGGAATCTGAAGCTCTCTTCTGACCTCCACAGCATTGCATGACACAGGTGCACTCACACACATGCAGGCAATACACTCATATGCATAAAAAAAAAAGAAAAAAAATGGGGAAAAGCCACCTGGTTGTATACACCTATGATCCAGCACAGAGGCAGCTGAGGCAGCTCAGGCTACATAGTTACAAACCAGCCTGTGCTACATCTACATTAGGAGACTTTTTCTCACAAAGGAAAATGAAATAGATTTTGTAAATCCCATAAAATTTAAAAAATATTTTATTTATTTATTTATTATTTATTTATTTATTTTTGTCTTTTTGAGACAGGGTCTCCTTGTAGCTCCAGCTGGCCTGGAACTCACTATGTAGACGAGGCTGGCATCAAACTCATAGAGAATTGCCTGCCTCTGCCTCCCCAAGTGCTGGGATTAAAGGCATGTACCACCATACCCAGCTTATTTTATTTTTTATTTAATGTGTATGGTGTATTGCCTGCATGTAGGTAGGTGCACCTGTGTCCTGCAGTGCCCTCAGAGGTCAGAAGAGGGTGTTGGATCCCCTGGAACTGGAATTACAGACGGTTGTTAGCCGCCATGTGGGTTCTGGGACTCGAAGCCGGGTCCTCTGCAAGAGCAGTCAGTGCTCTTAACCACTGAGCCGTCTCTTTAGCCCCCAAAATCCCATAAAAATGTAGAAGTATCAGAGAGATTGAGATTCAACCAATGTTTATTGAGAACTGTGAATCTGAACTTTCCCTCCCTCCCTCCCTCCCTCCTTCCTTCCCCTTCCCTTCCCCTTCTTTTCCGTCCCCTTTCTTTCCCTTTGCTTCCCTTTTTCACAGTCTCATATAGCTCTGGCTGGCCTCAAACTTACTATATAGCTGAAGATAACATTGAACTGCTAATCCTCCTGCCTCAATCTCCCAAGTACTGTGACTGTAGGCATGTACCACTACACCTGATTTTATACATGCTTAGGCAAGCACTCTATCAACTGAGCTGGATCCCCAGCCTCTTACAGCTACTTTTTTTCAGATTCAGGTTGCCTTGTAGCCGCAGGTGGCCTGGAACTAGGTTTGTAGACCAGGCTGAACTTGATCTCACAGAGATCTGCCTGCCTCTGCCTCCCTAGTGCTGGGATTAAAGGTGTGTGCCACCATGCCCAGTTTACACCTACTTTTAATGTTCTAATAGTTACATATTTATGAAGTTAGTAGATTTTTTAAAAAAACTGATACAGGGTCTAGCTGTGTAGCCTAGGCTGGAGCTTGCTTTCCTCCTGCCTCAGCCTCCCCAATGCTGAATTACAGGCACGTGCCTACACACCCCACCTGACAGTGTTTAATTGTAGCTGGTTTACTTAGCTACTATTACAGATCAGGCATCTGATGGGCTAAAGATGTGAGGTACAAAGATGACCATGAAGTAAGCCCTGCCTGCACACTGTAGTCTACCAGGAAAGATAAATGAAAGGGGCAGTGCTGTGTATTCTGGGAGAGCAAGTTTTTGTTGGCGTATGCAGAATGTATGATTGGGAATGGGAGGGGATGGCCTTGCAAATGTGTGACAATGCCCAGTACCTGGTATAATAGAATATGTGACTGGGAATGGGGGTGCATCTGGTCCTGGAAGTGTGGGACAATGCCCAGTACGTGGTACAATGGTGAACTACGGAGGTTAAACTTCATTCCACAGGCAGTGAGCATTGACTGGCATAGGGCACTGGTATTAGGGATGTAGAATTGGATGTGAGAGATCTTTAGAGATCTTCAGAAACCATTTGGAAGTGAGGGAGAGGGACAGGATACTGAAGGGTCAATTCTATGGTGATAATGATCAAAAGACAAGAAGATTTCTTAACTTTTTTCCTTTGCATCCTTCAGGCCTGTGATCCTGGACTGTCTCGGACATGTGACCAGAATACCTATCTCAGTGGCCTCTGTTACCTCTTCCCCCAGAATCTGGAGGGACCTGTGCTGCAAGGGCATCCTGCTTACCAGGGTAAGGAACTGGAGACCCACTGGGAAAAAATATCTCTGAGTAGCTGCCTTTCTATGGGAATCGACACGGTGGGCCAAACCCTATCAATCAGGCCCCTCTACATATCATCTTTGCAGAGTGTATAAAAGGCAACGTGGACCTGGTATTTCTGTTTGATGGCTCAAGGAGCTTGGATCAAGATGATTTTCAGAAAATCTTGAACTTTATGAAGGATGTGATGAAAAAACTCAGCAACTCTTCCTACCAGGTAAACAGCCTAGTGAGGTCCTTGGTTGCAGGCACTGGATGCTCACCTGAGTTGCTTAAGCCATTAAAGAGAAGTTTAATATAAGGCATGTCTCCAGAATGTATGGGCATGATTTTGACGAGATCTGGTGGGTCAAGGACCAGGGACCAGAAGGTCTCTAGGATTCCCTGTGGTTTCTCATTTCTGTTTCTTTTCCTTTTTTTCCTTTTTAAAAAATATTTTATTTATTATTTTTATTTTATGTGTATGAGTGTATTGCTTGCATGTATGTGAGTGCACCCATGTCGTGCAATGCCACAGAGGTCAGAAGAGGGCTTCAGATTCCTCTGGAGCTGGAGTTAAAGACAGTTCACAGCCGCCGTATGGGTGCTGGGAATTGAACCTGGGTCCTCTGCAAGAGCAGTCAGTGCTCTTAACCGCTGAGCCATCTCTCCAGCCCCTTCTGTTTCTTTTTTGTGCTTTGCTTCTGGCTTCTCTTTCCTGCTCGCTTCATAGACTGGCTCCCTTCTTTGGATCACATGGTGCTATACAAATCTAAAGTTATACACTAAAGTTCCAGAAGGACACTAACTTCCTCTCAACCAATTCCTCCTTCTGCAAAGCCCAAATTTGGAAGAGATTCTGACTGGCCTAGCCTCAGTGGGGTGACAATCTGTGGCCCAACTGACTCTGTTCAGTCTAACAAGATCACTTTATCGATCTGGTTACTGGGGAGTTAGGTGAGTCCAGAGACCAGGAACTTGCCACAAGCCTCTTGATAGAAAGCACATGTAGATGGGGTGTGGTGATGCACACATTTGAACCCAACACTCAGGAAGAAGAGGCAGGAGGAGTTTTGTGAGTTGGAGGCTAGCCTGGTCTACATAGTGAGTCCCAGGCCAATCAGGGGTATATAGTGAGACCTTGTCTCAGAAAAACAAAAACAAAAACAAACAAAAAAAAAAAAAACAAGGAGAAAGAAGGAAAACAGGTAGAGGTTTCTTTAATTCTTTTTCTGCAACTTGTTTATTTCACATCTGGAAGAATTCTCTGAAGCAGGGATGTGGAGTTGAGATACTCCCGTTCTATAGCAGCATGAAGCAAAAGCACCATGGGAAGGGGATATGTAACACACACCGTTTCTTTCTTTCTTTCTTTCCTAGTTTGCTGCTGTTCAGTTTTCCACATTACACAGAACAGAATTTACCTTCTTGGATTACATTAAACGGAAGGACCCTGATGCTCTGTTAGCCAACGTCACACACATGGGGTATCTGACCAACACTTTCAGTGCCATCAACTATGTCGCGTGAGTCCCCTTTTGAAGAAGAGACATGTCTGTTCATGTATTCCATGTTACCTAGCTTCTTTTAGTTGCGTGATGTAGGAACTCAACTGTTAGGTGCAAAGAGTGACAGCTTATTCAATAAATATACATCTTAATGTCAGTCCAGGGAGGCTGAAGCAAGAGGATTGCAAGTTTAGAAAGTTTGAGGCTAGTCCAAGCTGCATTTCAAGGTCCTGTCTCAAAAAACTGGAAAAGGTGGGCATGGTAGCATGTGTCTTTAATCCAGGAAGGCAGAGGCAGGCAGATCTCTGGGAGTCTGAGGTCAGCCTGGTCTACATAGGGGGTTCTAGGCCAAGACTCTCCCATACTGCCTCAGTTAGTTTCTCATTTTCTGGCTCTTTTCTTTGGGGCTGTGTTGATCAGTCGTGTCTCCTTCATTCTCTCTGTAGACTGCTGTGGTAGAGACATAGTCAAGCCGAAAACTAGCAGCCTCAGTTCCTCAGTTCAGATGTGCAATCCAAATTCCAGTTTCTAGGAGAGAAAGCTTGACAATTAAACCTGATTTGGTGTTGGAGGTCACTCAGTGTGGCTTGGATCTGCTTTACAGTGTGTTCATATGGGACAAATTTGATGCTGGAGTCTCCCACTACGGGAATGGGGTGTGTGTGAGAGTGTGTGTTTTGAGACCAAGTCTTGCTATACAGTCTTTTTTGTTTGGGTTTTTTTGTTTTGTTTTTGTTTTTTGAGACAAGGTCTCCCTGTAGCCCCAGCTGGTCTGGAACTCACTATGTAGACCAGGCTGGCCTCAGTCTCACAGAGGTCTGCCTGCCTCTGCTTCCAGAGTGCTAGGATTAAAGGCATGCACCACCATGCCTGGCTTGCTATATAGTCTTGACTTGCTATATAGCTCAGGCTAGCCACAAACTCATGGCATTCCTCCTGCCTCAGCAAGCTGACTGTTGGAATGATAGGCATGTTCCCCATGTCCTGTTTGGGAAGGGGGATCATAGGAAAAACTATTCTCTCAAGTTTTTAGAGGAAAATGTCCTCACAGGATAAGAAGACACTCTAAAAGGTCAGTCATGGGAGCAAAAAGAGGCAGCTGTGGAAATTTATGTCATAAACACTTTGACCACTGACTTTGTACAAGGCAGTGTTCTAAGTAAGCATCAGCTGACTTTTTCTGTGTAAGACTAGAGAATAAAAATTTTAGGTATTCTGTCCATAAATAGCATCTGTCGCATGTTCTTTTTTTGTTTGATTTTGTAATCCTTTAAAAATATAAAGTCTAAGCTGGACATGGTGGTGCACACCTTTAATCGCAGCACTTGGGAGGCAGAGGCAGGCAGATCTCTGTGAGATCGAGGTCAGCCTGGTCTACATAGCAAGTTCCAGGCCAATTGGGGCCAGGTTCAAGGCACTGGGAATATAGCAGTGAATGAAATAAAGAAAGACCCTCTTGGAGTTTAACATTTTAGTAGGAGAGAGAAATGTGATAAGTAGGATAAATAAGTTGTACAATATAGCAGATTAGAAGGTAGACATTCTCTAAAGAAAAATAAAGCAGTAATCCATAGGGAGATCAGAGAGGGTTACTTCTGCAGGGGAGCAGGCTGTGATTCGACTCAGGGTTTCTCTCATATAGCCATAGGCTGGCCTCAGACTCACTGTATGGCCAAGGCTGACCTTGAACTCTTGATCTCCCTGCCTCACCTTCCCAAGGGCTGGGTTTTCAGATTACTATTGAGTAGAGTTGATGGATGGGAAGACCATGTGGGTCTGGAGGAATAGAAAGGTGCTGAGATGTAAGCATACTTTGTGCTGATCAGCTTTTCATCATTGTAACAAACATCTGAGATAATCAACTTATAAAAAGTTTGTTTGGGCTCACGGTTTGGCAGTTTTGGTGTGTGTGTGTGTGTGTGTGTGTGTGTGTGTGTGTGTGTGTGTATGTTGCTGTGGTTGGAATCTAGAGCCTCATACATGCTAGGCAAGCCCTCTGCCCTTGAGCTACACTCCCTACACTTGGTTCACAGTTCTGTCAGTTTCAGTCTGTGATCATCCAGGCTCTGCTGCTTTGGGCCTGTGGAAACACATCCTGGCAGGAGGACATGGCGGAGAAAAACTGCTCACCTAATGGCTAGGAAGTCAAAGAAGAAAGAGTCAGGGTCCCACCGCTTCTTCAAGGGCACAAGCCCCATGAGTTAAAGATCTCTCATTAAGCCCCATTTCTTTTTTTTTTTTTTTTTTTCAGTCTGAAACAAGGTCTCCCTGTAGCCCTAGCTGGCCTGGAGCTCACTATGTAACCCAGGTTGGCCTTGAACTCACAGAGATCTGCCTGCCTCTGCCTCCCAAGCGCTAGGACTACAGGCGTGTGCCACCGTGCCTGGCTAAGCCCCATTTCTTAAAGGTCACATTCTTGCCAATAGTGCCACTCCAGGGACCAAATGCTGACACCATGGACCTTTGGGGGCATTTAAGAGGCAAACTATAGCATGCTTGTGATGTTCAGGAAAAGTGAGATGTGCTGGCATATACCTCTAATCTCAGAACTCAAGAGGTAGAGGCAGAAGGATTACTGCAAGTTCCAGGCCAACCTGAAGCAGATAGGGAGTTTCAGGTCAGCCAGAGATCCCCATCTCACAAAAAGGGGTGGAGTGGGGTGGGTGTTGGAGAGATGGCTCAGTGGTTAAGAGCACATACTACTCTTGTAGAGGACTTGAGTTCTGTTCCCAGCACTCAGATCTGGCAACGCACAGCCACCTTTCACCCTAGCTGCACAGGATCTGACCCCTTCTTGTGGCCTCTGTGGGCACCTGCATTCACACGCACAAACCGATACACAAACACACATGAATACACATAATTAAATTTTTTTTTTAATCTTGAAAAAAAGGATCAGGCTGTCCACATGGCTGGATAGAATAAAAGAGAAAGGAAACCTAGCAGGAGATGTGGTCAGAGACAGATGACTGACATTTAGAAGGGGGAAGGGCTTAGGTTCACTGTGAGACTTGGCTTTCTCCTGAATAAGTCATAGGATGTTTTGGGGAGAGGTATGATGGTCTGATTTATATGTATTTGTGTTTTGCTTTGTTTTTGAAACCAGTGTGCAGCCCCACAGTGGTCTTTAACTCATCATGTGGCCGCAGCTAGCTTCCAGCTCATAGTCCTCCTGCCTCAGTCAATGGTGGTTGCAAAGAAGTTTAGACAAAGCCCAGTGTCAGCACGCCTCCCCTTTGCTGGGACACCTTTGCTGGGACACCTCTGGGCTGCCCAGAATAGAGAGAAACCCATCAGTCCAGAGGGAGAGGGTGGCTGAAAGGCTGAGGTAGGAAGCTTAGAGGAGAATACTTGAAGCCTTGGAATACTGCCTGGTAGGACCGGAAAAGGGCTTTTGTGGCGTACAGTGTTGATTTAACTAGCAGCAGGGTAGGGAGGCTTTAGGCCCTGGTTTGGGAGGAGTGTCTCACATTTCTCTTTCCTGGACACAGAACACATGTGTTCAAACAAGAGCTTGGAGCCCGGCCAGATGCCACCAAAGTGCTTGTGATCATCACTGACGGGGAGGCCACTGACAATGGCAACATTGATGCCGCCCAAGGCATTATCCGCTATATCATCGGGGTATGGTTTCCAGGCCTATGTGTTTCTTATTGCTCATCTCCCCTCTTCTGAGCCCCAGACCCCTTCTCCCTGGACCAAGCAAGGTCTCTGACAATGCTACAAATCTGGTCTGAGCTCTGGCATGACCCTCCTCTTCACTTTACTCCCTCACAGATTGGAAGGCATTTTGCGACCTCACAGAAACAGAAGACGCTCCATGTATTTGCCTCGAAACCTACTGAAGAGTTTGTCAAGATTCTGGACACATTTGAGAAGCTCAAGGATCTATTTACCGACTTGCAAAAGAAGATCTATGCCATTGAGGGTAAGTGGCACACCGCAAGAAACATCTGGGGAAGGTGGATTTAAAACCTCCCAAGAGCCAGGCATAGTGGCTCACGCCTCTAATCCCAGTGTCCAGAAAGCAGAAGAATCTTATGTTCAAGGCCAGCCTTAGCTACATGATGTGTTTCAGGTCACCCTGGTCTGTGAGACCCTGACTTAGAAATCAAAAATGACCTGGAGAGATATCTCAATGGTTAAGAGCATTGACTGCTCTTCCAGAGAACCCCGGTTCTGTTCCTAGCACCCACATGGCCCTAAACAACCATCCATAATTTCAGTTTCAGAGGATCTGATGCCCTCTTCTGGTCTCTGTGAACATTACAGGCACATGGTGGTGCATGGACATACATGCAAGCCAAACACTCATACACATAAAATAAAAATTAATTAATCGGGCTGCAGAGATGGCTCAGTGGTTAAGAACACTGAATGTTCTTGCAGAAGACCTGGGTTCAAATCCCAGCACCCACATGGCAGCTAACAACTGTCTGTAACTCCGGTTCCAGGGGATCCGACAGCCTCTTCTGACCTCCAAGGGCATTGCACGACACAGGTGCACTTACCTACATGTAGGCAATACGTGGATACACATAAAAATATAAAAATAATAAATAACATAAATTAATTAATTAAAACAAAACAACACCCAGTCTCATCAGGCACACTTTAAGTTAGAGAGAGTAGAGAGAGAGTAAAGGACAAGGAGCAGAGATTACCTGGCCCACACTGACTTCTCATAAACAAAAGCACCTGGAGTAGGAGCTTGGAGCGGGTAACAGGGGCAGGCTCTGACGTAATGCTTCTCTCTGAAATTCCATCTTCCTCTTGAAGCTCAGCTTGATCCCAGGTGGGCCCCCAAACTGGCCTACACCTGCTGGTATCATTAGATGCCTACAGGGTTGCTCTAATTCCCTTCTCCTCTGTCTGACTCAGTGCCTCACTTTTTTTTTTAAGTTCTTTAAGTTTAAAAAATTTTACTTTATGTGTATTAATGTATTGCCTGCATATAGGTAAGTGTACCCATGTTGTGCAATGCCCTTGGAGGTCAGAAGAGGCTGTCAGATCCCCTGAGGCTGTTGGATCCCCTGGGACTGGAGTTATGGACAGTTGTTCGCTGCCATGTGGGTGCTGGGATTCGAACCTGGGTCTTCTGCAAGAACAACCAGTGTTTTTAACCACTGAGCCATCTCTCCAGCCCCCAGTGCCTCACTTTTAATGATCATAAACTCCATCTTACTTAAGGTGGGCAAGCTGGCAGAAGCCAAGTGTGAGGAGTCTACAGGTGCTCTTCCTTGACCTAGCATAAGAGAAGGTTTGGGTTGCAGTCTGCAGGTGGAAGACCAGTGATGGGGGCATTTCCCCAGGCAGCCAAGTCTGCTGTAAGAATCAGGATGCCACAGGGCAGTCCCCCTGCCAGGACACAGCCTTGGTACACTCGGAACACAGGATGGAACCAGGCAGACCTGTTTCAGGATCCTTGCTGCCTCTTACTTGCTGTGTAACCTCAGACAGAGCTCTCCCTTCTCTCTTCTCTGTGTTAAATGGGGAGTATGATAGCAGTTATTCAGGAATGTGAGGTTTAGCTGCTGGGTCAGTTCCCTATGGCCTCTGTACCAAAGTGCCAGATGCTGGATGGCTTCTAGTAACCGAAATGTATTGTTACAGCCTTCTGGAGGGTAGAAGTACAAATGAATGGTTGGAAGGGCCATGCTCTGCTTGACTGCTCTAGAAGAGCCCCCCCCTTTTTTTTTTTAAAAAAAAGACAGGATCTCATCATATGACTCAAGGTAGCCCCAAACTCCTGGCCTTCAAGGGGTCCTCCTGCTCCATTCTCCCAAGAGGCGGTGACTATAAGCTTACACCACCATGCCTGGCCTTTGTGTTATTTGCTTCAGGCATTTTCTGGTGATCTTTGGCACCTCTTGATTTGCGTGTGCTCCACTCTGGTCCCAGGGCCATCTTTTCTCTGTGTTCCTTCATGCCACCTTCCCTTGGTGTATATGTGTCCTTGCATCTAAAGTTTCCTTTTTATAAGAACATCAGTCATTGGATTAGGGCCCACCGTAATGACCTCATTTTAACTTGGTTATCTCTATACAGACCTGATTTCTAAATTAGTTTGCATGCTGGGAACATCGTTATTTTTATATTATATATTATATTTTGAGGGGGACACAGTTCAACCCATAACAGCTTAGTAAAGTGCTTGGTACCAGATATGTCCAACCTGTGTCTGCACATGGCCAAAGATAACTATGAATGTAGCTCAACACAAAATCAAAGCTTTATTAAAGCACTCAGATTCTGGCTGGGCATGGTGATGCATACCTTTAATCCAGCACTGAGGAGGCAGAGGCAGGTGGATCTCTGTAAGTTCAAGGCTGGCATGGTCTACATAGTGAGATTCAGGCCAACTGAGGCTTCAGGGAGACCCTGTCTAAAAAGACCATACCCCCCCAATACAAAAAACAAAGAAAAAAAACCAAAAAAGATTATAAACGTTTTTTAAATGTGTTTTTGTTTTTAACTTGATTGCATGGTTGTGCCCCAAAGTCAAAAGGCTGAACATGCCTGTTAGGTCCTCTCACAGTTGTTGCCTCCCCGTGACCCCCCCATCTGACCTTCCCTGACTCATCCTCTAGTGCTTAGTGAATGTGGATTCCTCTGAAGTTCTTACTGATGCCCCAGGCTGTGGCTTCTTCTTGTGCTGCTCTGACTGCTGTTTGCTCCCTGCCATGGCTCCTGGACCATCCGTTGGATGTGAATTTGTTTCTTATACTCTCTGACCCCCTCCCCACAGGTTTCTTATGGGGAACCCGATGGGTGCTTCTTCAACATTTGTAACGCTGCCATCAGTTACTTACTGCTGTCTCAAAAATGCATGTGGAACGTGTACTTTATATTATTTAATTCATTTATCACAGCATTCTTTTTTATCTTATGTGTTTGAGTGTATTGCCTGCACGTATGTAAGTGTACCTATGTTGTGCAATGCCTACAGATGTCAGAAGCGGTAGTCAGATCCCCTGGAATTGGAGTTACAGTTGTTAGCCACCATGCAGGTGCTGGGAACCAAACCCAGGTCCTCTGCAAGAGCAGCCAGTGCTGTTAACCACTGAGCCAGCTCTCTAGCCCCTTCTCACAGCATTCTTGAAAAGCTTATTTCCATTTTATTGATTCATGACACTCAAGGATATTGTGAGAGTGGAGCTCGTATTTACACTGAGTAAACAAAGAAAGAGAACAATTAAATAACAAATACAGTCATTTGGATCTGAGGATGCTACTCACTGGTTAGAGTGCTTGCCTAGCATACATGAAACCCAGTTCACCCCCCAGCATTGTAAAAACTGGGCATTACAGGTCTGTAACCCTGGTACACACATCCTGGAGGCAGGAGAATCAAGAGTTCAAAGTCATCCTTGTCTATACAGAGAGTTTGAGACCAGCCTGGGACACATGAGACCGTCTTGAAAAACAAAGAAGACATTCAGATAGAGGAAATGAAAGATTCAAGTAAAGAAGTGCATAGGGCTGCTCTAAGTGGAGGAGATAACTCTGGATGAGACTGGAGGAAAGTCTCGGAGTTTTGTTTTGTTTTCCTTTTTTCTTAATTTGTGGTAAAGGCAACATGCTAGCTAGCCATATGCACTATATCTCCAGCCCAGGAAGAGATTTAAAAAACTGAGACAAAATATACTCTGAAGTGACTTTTGAGCTGAGACATGAAAGTTAGAGACTCAAACAGTGGGTGAGGAGTGATGGGAAAGTGTCCCAGTTGGAGAGCGGAGCAAGGTCAAGAGATGGGCATGAGTGTGGCATGCTGGAGAAGTAGTGAAGGGGTGGGTGTGACAAGAACGAGGTGAAGAAAGGGAGAGGACATCAGAGAGGGAGGCAGGGCCTGCAGCCCCTGTAGAGGGTTTGGATGTTGGTGTGAGAAGCAATGGGAAGGCAGGGTGGAGTATTAAGAACGGGGAAGATAATGATTTGACACATAAGTAAAATATTTATTATTATTGTGTGAGCGCGTGTATGGGGGTATGCAAGCCACATGTGTTGTGGGGCACTTCACCAGAGAAGACCACTCAGACAAAGTTTTGCCAAGTGAAAGTCGTTACTGGCCAGGGCTACTACACAAGGGTGTTGGAACCCAAGTATGTAGCACTAAGCCATCTCTAGGGTAAGATTTTATACATAAAGACCATAATCAGGGGTGAAAAGTTTAAGTTCCCAAGCTTACAAGTGGAGAGCCCCCTTAACAATTTCTATTCTATTAAGTAACAATTACTATTTTGCAGAAGCAAGCTAAGCATAACCTACAGAAGCCATAACTCTGCAGTTAGCAGGTGCAGTCCAGGACACTCTGACCTGTTCCCAAGACAACTGGGGTCCAGCTGACATGTGTTCCCATACCCTGGGCCAACTGCCTGATAATTTCAGGGACCGGAGTCAGTCTAAACTTTAACATGGCATACCTGTGGTCAAGAAGGTGCCCTATTACACATGGCATGCATGTGTGTGCATGTGTGATGGGGGACATGCCTGCCATATCACATGTGTGGAGATCAGAGGACAACTTTATGGAGCCTGTTCTCTCAAACCTTTCCATGGATTTGAGGCTTACATCATCAGGAAGTAAGCATCTTTACCCACTGAACTATCTCCAGCATTTAAAAAAAGATTATTCTATAGGCCGGGCGTGGTGGCACACAACTTTAATCCCAGCATTCGGGAGGCAGAGGCAGGCAGATCTCTGTAAGTTCAAGGCCAGCCTGGTCTACATAGTGAGTTCCAGGACAGCTGGGGCTACAGGGAAACCCTGTCTCAAAAAGACCCCCCCAAAAAAAAGATTATTCTTGGGGGGAGGGGAAAAAAGATTATTCTGGCTTGCTCTGTGGAAGGAGAGCATGGGGAAAATAGAGTTGGAGATCACATTAGTGAGTATTTCACTAATCAGACCAGAGGTGAGGACAGCCTGGACCAGGATGGTGACACATCATTCAGAGGAGACAGGTATGGCTTATTGGTAGAACCATCATGATTCAGTGATGTGGAGGAAACAGATGTGGGCTTGGAAGGAATGGTAGCTGGTTCCCAGGGTCCTGTCATGATGCCTTAGGTGGGTGGAGTGTCCATATCATGGGGAATTCTGAGCAGGAGCAGAAATCAAGGGTTGCATCCTACATATGCCAAGGTGGAGTTTTAACAGGGCAGAGCTGACTCCGCATTAGGCCACTCCCTCACCTGTAGGACTCTTAAAAAATATATAGTAAGCAGGGCTTGGTGAACACTTTAATCCCAGCACTCGGGAGGCAGGGGCAGGCGGATCTCTGTGAGTCCAAGGCCAGCCTGGTCTCCATAGTGAGTTCCAGGACAGCTGGGGCTATAGGGAGACCCTGTCTCAAAAAGACCAAAATAAATAAATAAATAGAAATAAAACAAACATATATAATCTTTAATTGTTGAGAATTTCATACGTGTATACAACGTATGAAATTGTATACTTTCATTCCCCCCTCCAACTCCTCATGGACTCTCCCCCAACACCCTACCATATCTTCCTCCCAATTTTTTGTCTTCATTAAAAAAAAAAAAACAACCCACTGGATCCAATTAGTGCTGCCCTATGTGCATGGGTGTGGAGCCATCCACTGGAGCACAGGCCACCTACCAGGGGACACAGCCCTGAAGAACAAGGATTCTCCAAGTTCAACCTTTCTACTTTTGCCCCAAGGTGGATGTTGTGCTCCTCCTCAGTGCTCCCATAACAGTCACTGTCTTACTGCTCTACTTTGTCCCTCAGGCACAAGCAAACAGGACCTAACGTCCTTCAACATGGAACTGTCCTCCAGTGGCATCAGCGCGGACCTCAGCAAGGTGTGTGGTGGCCAGAAATGAGCTGAGAGATACTGTGGGGATGCAACAGGCTCACCCAACTCAGGATGGCCTTCATCCTGACTTCTTCCCCTGGGCAGGGCCATGCAGTTGTAGGGGCAGTTGGAGCCAAGGACTGGGCTGGTGGCTTTCTGGACCTGGACTCAGACCTGCAGGATGTCATGTTTGTTGGGAATGAACCACTGATCCCAGAAGTGAAAGCCAGCTATCTGGGTGAGTGTTTCTCTTTTCTGCTGGGTTCTTATGGTTGGAAGGGCTAGAGAGTAGTTCAGACTGGCTTTCAGTGTTAATAATGAAAACTTTTTTTTGGAAGGAGGGGAAGATTTGAGATAGGGTCTCACTCTAGCCCAGGCTGACTCAGAACTTACTCTAGAGTCCAGGCTAGCCTTGAACTCATGGCAATCCTCCTACCTAAGCCTCTCAAATGCTGGATTACAAGCATGAGCCACCATGCCTGGCAAGTGAAAGCAAGGCTGTCATGTATCCCAGGCTGGCCTCCTGCTTCTACCTCCCAAGTGCTAGAATTACAGGTGTACACCTCTTTACCTGGCCTGGATATAACATTCTTTTTTTTAAATTTTATTTATTATTTTTATTTTATGTGTATGAGTGTATTGCCTGCATGTAGGTAAGTGCACCCACGTCGTGCACTGCCCGCAGAGGACAGAAGAGGCCCCTGGAACTGGAGTTACAGGCAGTTGTTATCTGCCATGTGGGTGCTGGGATTCGAACCTGGGTCTTCTGCAAGAACGACCAGTATTCTTAACTGCTGAGCCATCTCTCCAGCCAGGATATAACATTCTTAAATTTCCCCTTAATAACCATTCAGCTGTGTAGTAATTATGCCTTCTAGTTCTCTGTTTTCTGAGGCTTTTCTTGAGGCCCTGTTTGTCCTGAAGAACTGGAGAGACTGCTCCTTCTGGGCTAATGAGCATTGGTTGTGCGTGTGCCTCTTACATGCACACCAGCCAGTCCAGAGCCCACAGCCCCACTTGTTTTGTTTATATGTTGGTTGATACAGATTCTCAGGTAGCTCAAGCTGGCCTTGAACTCCTGATCCTCCTGCCTCTACTTCCCTGAGTGCTGGGATTATAGGCATGAACCATCATGCCTGGCTCCCAAGCACTTCTATCCAAAACCAAGCCAGTATCTCCCTGTTTTAAATTGTCCCAAAGCTAGGTACTAGCTACTGAAAGACCACCTCTCTAGGCTAGAGGCTGCTGAAAGTATTTAGTCTGTCCAATCCTCACTTACCCACCTTTCCATGGACTCCACAACAGAAGCCTTACTCCTCTCCCCTTGAAGCTTCTGCTTTCCCCTTGACCCAGATCTTCCTCATCTGGCCCCTCATCTTGTGCTGTATCTACTGCTGGGATGCTCAGTAGTAAACTTTCAATGATTCCCCTGTGCCTTCACTCAGTCAAGGAGCCAAACTTAGACATTTAATCCAGGGCACATTAAAAATGTATGTATGTATATATTGTATACATTGAACATATGTCCCCTGGTGCCCCACTTTCCTCAGCCACATGCCAGGGTTGTTTTAAGCATCCTGTCTCAACAGAAGGAGGTTCCTCCACATGACTGCTTCCTCTCACATTGTCCAGAAAGTCTAGGTTTCATTCAAGCTGTTTCTTTGTTTTGTTTTTACGACTTTATTTCTTTTGCTCTCTCTCTCTCTCTCTCTCTCTCTCTCTCTCTCTCTCTCTCCAGGCAAAAGTTGGTTCTGTCTTTTTACCATGTGGGTCATGGGATCAAAACTCAGGTCATTAGGTTTGGCAGCAAGCACCTTTACCCACTGAGCCATCAGTCCAGTTTTATTCAATTTCAAGAATTCTTTTAAGCTAGGCAAGATGGTTCAGGCACTTCGGAGGGGCTGAGGCAGGAAGATTGTAAGTTCGGAGACTAGCCTGGTCTAAATAAGGAGAGCCTGTCTCAAAAAATGGGGTCAGGGAGAGGCTGGAGAGATGGCTCAGTGAATAAGTGATAAAGACACTGAATGTTTAAATAACTTGCCCAGGGTCACAGAACTACTAGGGGCGCCCAGGGAATCTATTCTATAAGCCTTCAGGGTACACCCATATGTGTGCATACCTGCATACGTATTTTGTGTGCAGATATGCATGCATGTGTGTGCACATGCATGTAGAGAGCAGAGGTCGACATCAGGTTGTCTTTCCACGATCACCTCAGTGCTGGGAGTACAGTGTATGTCCCCATGTCTTCCTTTCTTTTTAATGTGGGTTCTGGGGATCCAAACTCAGGTCTTTGTGCTTACAGAGCAGGCACGTTAACAACTAAGCCACGCTCCCAGCCCCTCAAGGTGGTTTTCTGATTCAGTATACTATAAAATACTTGGTAACTTCACTTACTGAAGAAGAGGCAGCTGCCACACACACACAAATGCACACATTTATATATACACATAGAACTATTAAGTTAGCCATTGCTAGCATGTGCTTAGACATTTATATCCAAGATAGCTGCTGCTGCTATTTCCATTTTTTAATTTAAAAAGTTTATTTATCTACCTGGGCATGGTGGCACCTGTCTTTAGTCTCAGTACTTGGGAGGAAGAGGCAGGCAGATCTCTGTGAGTTCGAGGCTAGCCTGGTCTACATAGTGAGTTCCAGGCCAGCTGGGGCTACTGGGAGACCCTGTCTTTAAAAAAAAAGACCAAAAAAGAAAAAAATAAGTAAAAAGTTTGTTTATTTTTATGTGCATGAGTGTGTTGCCTGCATGTATGTATATGTGTCCCCATGCATGTGATGCCTGTGGAGGCCAGAAGAGGGTGTTGGATCCTCTGGAACTGGAATTAAAGATGGTTGTTAGCTGCCATGTGGATGCTGGGACTGAACCCAGGGTCCTTTGCAAAAACAGCCAGTGCTCTTAACTGATGAGCTGTCTCTCCAGCCCCTAGTCCCATTTTTTAGATTGGAAAACTGAGGCTGAGAGGTGGAGAGTGACTTACTCCAGATCACACAGTGAGAAAGTCAAAACACTGGGATTTGAATCATGTCTCTGATTTTTGAGGGCAAGCTCTTCACCCTTGTGCTTCAGGATTCTATGTGACAGAACAGGCTTGGGGTTTAGTCTCCTCATCTCCCCTCCTTTGTGTTGTAAAGCCATATGTTTTTCTCCTTTAAAGTTTTTCTACACAAAAATCAGATAGGATCATGAATCACGGTTTTTTTTGTTTGTTTGGTTTTGGGTTTTTTTTTTTTTTTTTTTTTTTGGTCTTTTTGAGACAGGGTCTCCCTGTAGCCCCAGCTGTCCTGGAACTCACTATGTAGACCAGGCTGGACTTGAACTCACAGAGATCCACCTGCCTCTGCCTCCCGAGTGCTGGGATTAAAGGCGTGCGCCACGCCCAGGTGGACAGGTGCATGCATGCCATGGTGCACATGTGGAGAGGTCAGAGGACAACTTTTGAGAGTCAGTTCTCTCTATCCACCATTTGGTCCTGGGCATCAGGCATGGCAGCGAGTGCCTTAACCCTCTGAGCCACCTTGCCAGCCCATGAATGTTTACAGGCATTACTGTTGAGTGGCTCCCTGCCCAGTTCTAGGATTGTTTCCTGCAACATGCAAATAGCCTGAAGTGGCATTGTGTGTGTGTGTGTGTGTGTGTGCATGTGTGCGTGTGTGTACATACAGGTATGTGTGTGCAGAGACCAGAAGTCAGCCTCAGGTGTCATTCCTTAGGATCTGTCCACCTTATTTTCTGAAACAGCGTCTGTCACTGGAACTGGAGGCTTGATAATTAGGGCTAGGCTGGCAAGCCAGAAAGCCCCAGGAGCCTCCTGTTTTTGCCTTCCCGGGCACCTGTCACCATACTTTTCTTCATGGGTACTGGATATTGAACTCAGCTCTTTATGCTTCTGCGGCAAGCACTTTACTGACTGAGCCGGCTGGACTCAGTTTCGACAATCCCAGCTTTGTTGGCAACATCTGAAACATCAGCAACCGCTCCGCTTGGGGGGAGGAGGAGCTATGAAAGCTTGCTTCTCCTGAGGACACTCTCCTGGGGGGTTTGAAGACTGCCACAGAGCCATAGCCACAGCATCTCAGGTCATCAGAAAGTGAGTGACAGGTGGATCATCTTCTGGTGGCTGTGGACATCTTTGGGCTTCTGCTTTGGGATGGATAGTCCTTCTTGGCTTTTGTTGCGATCTTAGTAAAAAAGGTTTTGAAGCAACATGTTTAAGCATGGACGTTTTCCAAGTTGCCTGCCATTTTTTTTTTCCCCCACAGAGTATCACTCTGTATTCCAGGCTGATCTGGAATTCATAATTCTCCTACCTTGTTCACCAGGGTGTTGGGATTATGGGTGTGTACCACCATATCCTACTCTTTATTTTTAATATGCACATCAACTTTGCCCTCTTCTTATTAGTCTGTCATATTCATTGCTTATCTTGTTGTGACAAAATAGCCGCCAAAGACAGCTTTAGGAAGGAAGGGCTTATTTTAGCTCTTGGTTTAAGAAGGGGTACAGTCCAAGATGGCGGGGGAAGGCATGGTGGCAGGAGTTGGAGGTGGCTGGTCCCAATGCATCTGCAGTTGGGAAGCAGAGAAAACTGGATCCTGCTGCTCAGGTTGCTTTCTCATTCTTATTTAGCCCAGAGTCCAGGATCCCAGTGCATGGCATGACGCTGCCCATATTCAGGGTGGGCCTTCCCTCCTTGGTTAAACCTCTCAGGAAATGACCTCACAGGCATGCCAAGAGACATGTTCCCTAAGTGTTTCTAAATTCAGTCAAGTCACCCTGAAGATTAAGCATCATACATATTCAACCTTATTTTATTATTAAAAGATGGAAAAAGAGCCGGAGTGGCAGAGGATGCTGTAATCCCAGCACTCATGAGGTCAGCCTAAGCTACATAGTAAGACCCTATCAAGGTAGATAGATGATAGATGATAGATGATAGATAGATAGATAGATAGATGATAGATAGAGATAGATAGATGATAGATGATAGATAGATGATAGAGATAGACAGACAGAAGATAGATAGATAGATAGATGATAGATAGATAGAGATAGACAGACAGACAGACAGACAGATAGATAGATAGGAGCCTGATTTCCTGAGCTTTCCTTCTCCCAGCAGCCTTTGCATTTCTAACTCCGAGCCCCTCTCCCCCATCCCATCAGGTTACACTGTGACCTGGCTGCCCTCCCAGGGGCCCACATCACTGCTGGCAGCTGGAGCTCCACGCTACCAGCATGTGGGACGAGTGCTGCTCTTCCAAGCACCAAAGAACAGAGGACACTGGAGCCAGGTTCAGACAATAGAGGGGACCCAGGTGAGCATGAGCTAAAGGGCATCTGCCAGTGTGACTTGAGTGCATTCCCATGCCCTTGGAACACCTGCCCTGTACTAAGTAGGAGGCCTTGTCCCAACACCCTCCAAGGTTAACCTTGGCCTTTCCACTCTCCAGCTTAAGACACTGAACCTCCAAAGGTCAACTTTTCTTAATTTGCATAAGCTCCAAGGATGGGCCCCAGACTTGACCCTGGATTTGGGAAATTGGAAGATAAACATGGTGCACCGAGGGGTGGGAGGTACCTGCCCCTCCTGCTGTTCCCGCTGGCGCTTCCTCAGACTCATTCTTGTCCTACAGATTGGATCTTATTTTGGTGGTGAGCTATGTGGCATTGACCTGGACCAAGACAACGAGACAGAGCTGCTGTTGATTGGTGCACCCCTGTTCTATGGGGAGCAAAGAGGAGGCCGGGTGTTCATCTACCAGAAAAAACAGGTCCTGGTTGTTCTGAAGGGATTTTCTTTTACTTTGCCAATGAAACCTTTAAAACAAGGCTGTGTGTGAGGCCCATGCCAAACATTTTATAGACATGACTTCCTTTCATCCTTTGATCGCCTCCTGAGATCCTACCAGTCTTATGTTACAAATGTGAACACAAAGCTAAGGGAGGCTGGGTCGTTTTCACACAGTTGCAGAGACAGTACAAAGTGGGGCTATACTTGGGCCCAGGTTAGTCTAATAGCACCATTCCAATTATTTGAGGAACCATACCATACATTTGTATTGTGTTCCTCACCAAGGTTTTAGCACAATGCCACGTTCTGGAAAAGCTCTCTGAGGTTCAGCTATGACCCATCTCCTTTCAGATGGTGTTCAAAATGGTCTCAGAGCTGCAGGGCAACCCTGGCTACCCACTTGGACGGTTTGGAGCCGCCATCACTGCCCTAACAGACATCAATGGGGATGGGCTAATGGATGTGGCTGTGGGAGCCCCTCTAGAAGAACAGGGGGCCGTGTACATCTTCAATGGGCAGCCTGGTGGGCTCAGTCCCCAGCCAAGCCAGGTAAAGTACCCTGCCTGCCCATCACTCTGTTCCCATGTACCTTGAAGTGTCCAAGCCAAGACCCCAGTCAGAGCTTGACTTCCCTCCCTGCACTGGGCCTCTTCCCAGTTTAGTATGCCCTTTTCTCTTGCTCACAGCGGATAGAAGGGACCCAGGTGTTCCCCGGAATCCAGTGGTTTGGACGTTCCATCCATGGGGTGAAGGACCTTGGAGGGGACAACTTGGCAGATGTGGTTGTAGGAGCTGAAGGCCAGGTGATTGTGCTGCGGTAAGCTGGGCCTTCCGAGTCCCCTGATAATTTCAGCTCTTAAAGTTGTGGCTGGGCACTGTGCAGAGCCTTACAGCTCTGCCCATTTTGTTTTAGCTCCAACTGTGGGAAATCAGTTTTATAGTCTTCATGTCTTACTCCAAGGTCCAGCAACTGCCATTCAGTGGCAGAAGTGAGATTTAAAAATTTTTTTTAAATATTTTATTTTTATTTTACATGTGTGCATGTATTGCCTGCATGTAGGTAAGTGCACCCCTGTCCGTTTGGTGTCCTTGTAAGGGAGGAGAGGGTGTTGGATCCCCTGGAACTGGAGTTGTGGACAGTTGTTAGTTGCCATGTGGGTTCTGTGATTAGAACCCAGGTCTCTGCAAGAGCAGACAGTGCTCTTAACCATTGAGCCATAGCTCTAGCCCCAGAAGTGAAAATTTTAGCCCAAATCTATCTATTGACACTAAAACCATGTGTGATGTTAGAATCTACTGGCTTGGATTCTTAGGACCCAAGTTTCTCTGCATTTGAAGTGGTGGTGACATTTCTTGCCTTGTTGGAAGCATCATGAGTGGGCTTTCCCACCCAAGTATCATTGGTGACAGTGCAAGGGAGCGGCATTAACTATCACCTACTCTGCATTAAAGTTACATTTACTTATTTCTCTGTGTGCCATGGTGCACGTGTAGAGTCCAGAGCACGAGTTTTGCAAGTCAGTTCTCCTTCCACCATGTGGGTCCCAGGGATCAAACTCAGGTTGTCGGGCTTGGTGGAAGGCTCCTTTCCCTCTGAGCCTTCTGGTCTACCCCCTTTTTGTTTTTTGGGAAGGGCTGGGAATGGGACCCAGGGCCTTGCTTCTGACAAGAAGTCACTCTGTCATTCCACTCCCAGCCATGATCACCTGCTGTTTTTTGTTTTATTTTGAATTTCTGTTCTGTTTTTTCTTTTTTCTCTTCCTTCCTTCCTTCTTTCCTTCCTTCCTTCCTTCCTTCCTTCCTTCCTTCCTTCCTTCTTTCTTTATGTCTGCCTGTCTTTTTGAGATGGTCTCCCTGTAGCCCCAGCTGGCCTGGAACTCACAGTGTAGACTAGGTTGGCCTCAAACTCACAGAGATCCGCCTGCCACTGCCTCCCAAAGGCGTGTACTACCAAGCCCTGTCCATTCTGTTTTCAAAAGAGAGTCACAATGCAGCCCAGCCTGGCCTGGAACTTGCTATGGTAGCTCGTATTGGCCTTGGGTTTAAGGTCCTTCTGCCTCTGCCTTCCCAGTGTTGTTGACATTATAAGGGTATACACCATGCCCAGAACCTGATGTCTCAAACACTGAGCCAGATACTGGGCCCAGAGTATATGGGGATACCTATCATAAAAAATTAAACAAGCTCATAGGCAGTTACAAATTGTGATGAGTGCTATAAAGGAAATGAACAGGCGCTGTGAGAGGCAGACCCAAGAAGGCCTGCTGTGGACCAGGGCCTCCCTGAGGGGCTGCTGTTTGAACTAGGAACTGAAAGATGAAACAGTGTCAGGATTGCAGAAATCTTCATAGAAAGTCCAAGATGTACCAAGGTCAATAGCAGGCAAAAGATTGACAGGAAAGAGAGCAAGTGTGGCTGGAATGTGGTCAGCCCAGGGGTGTTGAGCTAGAAAATAAGACTAGAGAGACGGGCAATATTTCATGGATAATGAAGTTTGAAGTTTATTCTAAATATCATGTGGCAGCAACCTCTCTGTTTCTCTGTCTCTCTCTCTCTGTCTTTGTCTCTCTCTCTCTCTCTCTCTCTCTCTCTCTCTCTCTCTCTCTCTGATAGGGTCTCACTAGCCTGCATTGCTCTGGAACTTATGACCCTCCTGCCTCAGTCTCCCCAGTTCTGCACCCCACTCATCCTTAGTTCTCTCTTTCTTTTTTCTTTTACATTTATTTATTAATTTATTTTATGTGGGCATGCACATGTGGAGATCAGAGGACAATTTGTAGGAGTTAGTTAGTTTTCTCCTTCTACCATGTGAGTCTTGGGGATCAAAACAAGTCATCAGGGTTGGTGGCAAGCCCTTTTGCCTGCTGAGCCATGTCACTGGTCCTGATTTCTCTTTTAAAAGCTCACTTCTTTATGAAAAATTGATCACAAGGCCACCAACAGTGAACTAGGGAGCCCTAATTGTCATTGCTGCTATTATTGAGAGACTTCTGACAAGAACATACAGACAGTCTTCTGGCCTCTGCTGGACTGGGCTCCCAAGTGTGTGCTAGCTACCAAGCCCAGTGGGGTTTGCCGTTGAGGCCAAGGGAGAGATTGGTGGTTTTCTGCTCTGCAGCTCCCGGCCAGTGGTAGATATTGCCACTGAGCTGTCCTTCTCTCCAGACGAGATCCCAGTGCATGAAGTGGAGTGTTCTTACTCAGCCAGTCACGAGAAGAAGGCAGGAGTCAACCTCACCGTGTGTTTTCAGATCCTACCTCTCACGCTCCAGTTCCGAGGTTAGTGCCATCCTCCCTGCCAGATCGGCTGCCCACCCCAAACTCAGCATTTGACCCAAGGATCTCCCATCATTCAGCTCCTTCCTTTTCCCTCCTCCCCAGGTCACCTGCTTGCCAACCTCACCTATACCCTGCAGCTGGATGGCCATCGGACCAGGAGCCGGGGGCTGTTCCCAGGAGGGAGCTCCACGCTCAGCAGGAATACAACTGTCACCCCACACAAATCCTGCATGAACTTCTGGTTTCACTTCCCAGTAAGGGAGCCAGTGCTGGTATTTTGGGAAGGGCGGCAAGTTGGTGAGAAGCAGTGGGGATGCAGGCTCAGCTCTGTCCCTGTCCAGCTGTCATGCTGTCCCCCCTGCTGCACAGGGTGATAGCACCCTTCAGGGATTTCCCTCTGGTCCTTACTGGTTCCCTTTGCATTCGTTTGCTTTGTTTTGTTTTACATAGTATCTTGCTGGTTTGGTACTTGCTACGTAGTCCAGGCTGGCCTTGAACTCGTGGCAATCCTACTGCCTCAGCCTCCTGAATGCTGAGATTACAGTGTGCTACCAAACCTGGTTTCTATGTTGACATTTTTAACATGATGATGATTATAATATACTCCCCATTTTCCACATTCTTTTTA